TGGCTGGCCGGCCTGCTCTTGCCACGATGGCTTTGCGGTTCTTGGAGGGGACCTTGTGTGCAGTCTCAGCACAGTAAGGTCTGTAGCCCAGCAGCAGCTCCTGCCCCTTGACATCGGGGACCAGGAATCTGCAGAAGCCACACCGCAGACAACATGTGCTCTGTCTGCCTGTTGTTCCTGTAACCAAGCCTGGGCATCGAGATCTGGCCCGAAATCTCTGAGCCCTGATGTCGATGCCTCTGGGCTTGCACCAGTTACGCTTCATTTTGACAGCCTGGCTGGTGCCCGGTGAACGTCTTGGTCCTCTTTTTTTTGCTCTCATTGGCTTCACCAGGGGCCTGGGGACAGCCGTTAAGCGAGTAGATGACTGCTACCTCCATAGAAAGTGCTGAAGCAAAGAGCAGTTGTCCTCTTAGGAGAGACATTCAAGACCACCCCTTTTCAATGTGACCTCATAACAAAAAACCGTATTCCTAAACAAGGTCATATTTACACATACAGGGGTTAGGACTTCAGCACAACTTTAGGGAACACAGCACTGTCCATAGCATCAAAATTGAGGATTTGGGAATTGTAGCAGGCGGAGACACAATAGTTCCCTACTTATCTCTACTGGCTGAGAAGTTAAGAGTTGAGGCTCATCAGTAGTTTGGAAGGAGACAGGGACTGATGATCTGCTTCCATAACAATATATAAAACCCTGAAAACTAGTTGCCCGTAATTCAGTTCACACTTGTGGTGACCCCGGGGCAGAGGAGGACTGCCCGGTTTCCAAGGCTGTAAATCTTGACTTGAAACAGACAGCATGTCTCCTGTGGAGTGTCTGGTAAAGTCGAACTACCAACCTTTGTTCCTGCTGGTCCTGTGCCATCCTCATAATTGATGCTGTGCTTTGAGCTCGTTGTGGACACTGTCATTCTATCTCATCAAGGATCTCCTCTTTTTTTTCTTCCTCTTCTTGAGCAAGCATGATGTCCATCTCCAGGGACTAGCCCCTCGGGATAACATGCCCAGTGAATAAGAAAGTTCAAGGAAGGATCGATGCCTTTGAATTGCAGTCTTGGTGAAGCATATTGGATATCCTTAAGTATTTATGAACCGCCAGAAGAACCATAAAGATCAATACTAATTAACTCATTGCCATTAAGTAGAAGCATTCTCAGAGCTGACCCTCCAGCAGGTTTTCAGGGACAGGGAATTGCACAGGAAAAAATTGCCCGTCTTTCTCCCATGGAGCAGCTGGTGGATTTGAACTGCCTATTTTTGGGTTGACAGCACAACTCTATTCACTAGGCCAGCAGAAAGCTCCCTCTAAATATTACAGATGAGGGAAATCCTAGGAGGTAGTTCTGGTCTGTCTTGAAGAGAAGCCATAAGGTGGAATGGAATCTGCACACAACAGATGGTAAGAGGCGGCCAGTGGAGGCTCTTCACGGCCAAGGTCCTGGAGAAGGTCACATCACATCATGGTTCACATCATCATCATCATCAGCATTATTGTTAATATAATATTTGGGGAATCACCTACCATAAAGTCAGAGACCATCTAGTTCAGGTTTTGCTTTTATATAGATGGGAAAACTAAGAGAAGGGATCATAGAGTGACTCAATGAATGGCAGTGTCTACACTTCCTGCCTCCTGGCTGTAGTCTTTCCAGGTCTCTTGCTGTCAGCTGCAAAAGAGATGGGGACTTTCCGGCCCGAGTGGAGAGATGATGAGATGCCCCGTAAGGGAGTACCAGATTGTGCAGTAGAAAATGGTAGCAACTGGTCATTTCAAAAGAGAAGATACAGAGGCCAAGGACATGCACAGAAGAGACGTGAAGACAGAGCTGGGAAGGGTGACGAGCCTGGGTATAGTGAAGGGCCCGCTTACAACATGGGTCCCGCACCCTCGGTTCACCACCCGTCCTCTGCTGGGACAGCAGCCATGCCAACCAGGAGGACAGATGCACAGGCTGGCTCTCTCCAGGGCTGCCCTGAGCACTCTCGCTTCCTTTTCATTCATCCTTTTTTCTGTACCCATCTCTTAAAATATATTTGTGTGGCTCAAAATATAAAAGGTAGTAAAGATATTGTATGGAAGGGGAGCTCTGGTGGCCTAGTGGCAAGGAGCTGCAACTACAATCCCAGAGGCGCACGGTTCGAATCCACCAGATGCTCTGCCGGGTGAGGAGGGACAATCTCCTCCTGTACCAGTCAGATCTGATTTGACGGTACACGCACATAAAAATAATAAAAATTAAAAAAAAAAAGATACTGTATGGAAAGGCTTTTGTACGTGTGTGTGTGTGTGTGTGTGTGTGTGTGTCCTCCCAGGTTCACCTGATGTTCCATTAGGTCCCATCGTTCTCCACTTTCCATGATGGAACCATGCTCCTAAATGTGGACACTTGGAATAATCTCTAGGAAGACTTCCTCCAGGGTAAAAGGGTGGGTGGTAGTGTGTACTGTCAAGTTGGAACTGACCCATGGCAGACCCTCCAGCGGGTTTTCAGAAGCAGTCAATTGCACAGGAGGAGATTGTCCATCCTCCCACAGAGCAGCTGGTGGATTCGAACCACATGCCTTTGGAATTCCAGTGCAGCTTCTTACCATTATAGGCCAGCAGAACTCACTGGTAAATGGATTGGGGTTTTTAATCAGAGAGCTGCTTTTCTGGGGCCTTGAGTTTCTGGTGGTCTCCAATTCTGTTAGGATCTTGACCTCTCAGCCACCGTACTTTGCCTTGGCCCAACCTTGCCTCACCGATGTGCTGAGTAGCCATGCACAGGTCTTCTGGAAGCAACCATGGTTGGCTGGAGTCAGGTGCCGTCCAGTAGTTTAGCGCTCACAGTGACCCTGCAAACAGCAGGTCAAAGCATGCCCTAGGCTGCACGCTCATGGTAATACCTGTCACGTATGCCCATTGCTGCAGGCATGTGTCAAGCCACTGCACTAGGGTCTTCCTTTCTTTCACTGACCTCCTTTTCTAAGCCCATATTGTGTCTCCTTCCACGGACTGGCCCCTTCTGACAGCATGTCCAAAATACACGAGGCACATCCCACCATCCTTGCCTCCAAAGAGCGCCCTGGTGGCACTTCCTCCAAGATACTTGTCTGTTCTTTGAGCAGTCCACGGACCATTCAATATTCTTCACCAGCAGCGCAATTCAAAAGCATCAGTCCTCCGGCCTTCTTTCTTCATGGTCTGACTTCCATGGGCAGAGCAGCCGCGGCAGAAGAAGACTTTGACCTGGGCTCTTCTATGATTCCAGAGATCACCTAGGACAGCTGGAGTCGCTCCAGAGCGGTTTCCATCCGATTTTATCTTCTAAACGCTCCAAACGCAGCTCCACTCGAATTGCTGTGCATTCTTGGATTGGCTTTGGTCCTGAGAAAGAAGGGTACATGTGGTCCTTCTGGGCGCATGTGGTCCTTCTGGGCTGCTTGGGGCCTTCCGAGGGGGTGGCGTGCCACCACAAACCAGATCCCTTTAAAAAAAAATAAATAAAAAATCTGTGCTGAAACCTATTAGTTATTTTCACAATTAGGGCATGTGACAAGGACACAAAGTCACTAATTAAGAAGGTATATTTGCTATATGATTACTGCAGCCATCATTCTATGACCTCATGCCTACCAACAGAAGAAAATTTCATATTGTTTGTACAAGGTGGCGTGGAGTTCCCAAGTCAGACTTTCATAAACTGGGGCTAACTATGTTATATTTTTGTTCTTGAGTAAGACTTTTAATGACCTTATGAACAACATGTCTGAAATGTGTCCTCTCCAACTCCATTCTCACCAGCTCCTCCACACTCAGGTCCGTTGTAATCACTGTGCAGCTCATTTCGTTAAGGGTCTTTCCCTGTTCTGCTGACTTTGCACCTTTCCTAGCGTGATGTATTACCTCCTCCTGTCAACATGCTCAGAGTATGAGACAGCGTCTCACCGTCCATGCCTCAAAGGAATATGCTAGTTGCACTTCCTCCAAATCACATTTGTTTGTCCTTTTGGCAGGGCACAGAATAATTAGTACTGTTGCCACCGACACTATATAAGAGCATTATTTTTAAGGAAAAATAAATTTTAAACTAGGAAAAAATACATTTTTAATTTTATACTGATTTACTTACAAAGTTCTTATACATTGTTTTTTCACACTAGATCTTTCCCGTTTCCTTTACCCACCCTTCCCTCTACTCCTCAAATTGTGCGACCTGTGATTACCCTTCTCCTCCCCTCCCCTCCTTGGATCCTTGTACACGTTTTACTAGTTATCTTTCTATTTCTACAATAATGGTCTTCTACAGTATTTGTCCTTATGGGACTGGGTTAGTTCACTTAGCATAATGCTCTCCAGTTCCTCCCAAGTTAGGTAGTGATTTATAAAATCATTGCTCCTGAGTGCTGCGTAGTCTTCCATCATGTGACTATACCGTAATTTCCTCAATCCATTCACTTGTGGTTGAACACCTGGGTGGTTTCCGTGTTCTAGCGACACATACCAGGTCTCTTGAGGGCAAGGGAAAATCAGGGCCAAGAGGCCAGGTTGGCCTGCTCGCTGGGCTCATGTGTTCTTGGTGCGGGCTGATCCTGAGAGGGGGCTGCTGTGACCCTCTGCATTGCATCTAGTCTCAGAATCCGAGTTCTGTTATATGATAGGAAGAGTCCGTGTGAATCGTGGAAGCTGTTTCCATGAAAGAGTGGGGTTGATGCAACCTATATACAGTTTGACTAAAGGTCACTTGTGTGTGCTGGACCTGAGACGTCCTCCTGTGATGCCCGTGTCTGTCACACAGTCCATAAAACATCATCCTTGTATTCCATGCAGCAAGTGTAGATTAGTTTTTCATCTTCTTCCACCTCTCCCAGGCCAACGCTGAGTCGTAGCAGGTGGGGCTGGGCTGGATTAAATATTAATGCAGTTGTCATTAGTGCCCAGACAAATCAGTGCCTCAGAGGCAAGCGTCCAGCCGCCTGGTGGACCCCGGCTGAGGAAGCAGCAGCCGGCAGACATGGCCCAGTTTCAGGAGGTCCTGGCTGAGATAGGTGGCTTCGGTCGCTTCCAGATGCTACTACTAGTGCTGTTGAGTATCCCCAGCTTCTTTTTTTCCTTCAGCATGCTCGGCCAGGTGTTCATGGTCCTGGACGAGGCCCACCACTGTTCTGTGGCCTGGGTCAAGAATTACACCGTTGGCCTCAATGCTAGCCAGCAGCTGGCCCTGGGCATCCCTCTGGATGCCGCTGGCAACCCAGAGTCCTGCCTCATGTTCCGGCCACCCCCTGACAACGCCAGCTTGGAGGACATCCTCGGCCACCGCTTCAACGAGACACAGCCTTGTGAGGAAGGCTGGACCTATCCTGAGGGCAGGCCCCAGTCCCTAACGAACGAGGTAGGGCTACCCTTTTGCCTGCCCATCTCATGTGTGTCCCTCTGCCTGAGGCCCTGAGGCCCCTGCTGGTACTCTAACTGCCATAGGTGTGGCCACAGGTGTGCCTGTACTGCTTTTACCAACAATCTTCTTGTTAAAGTTTGACCTGGGCCTGTCAGCCTCCTTCCCTCTCTGTCTATCCGTGGTTTTTGTCTGATAATCTGCCTGCCTTTCCCCCACCCCTTTTCTCCCTGATTATCCCTCTGCCCTTCTGCCTGATTTCCTGTCTCCTCTTCTTCTGTCTGACTTTCTATCAGATGTTCCCATCCATCTGTCCACTGCCTGTGCCTTTCAGTCTGCCCATCTGCCCAGTTTCCTGTCTTTCTCTGTTTTCCTAAATCTCTTCTTGCACTGTCCTTTGCGCTCTCTCTGCTTTCCTGCTCTGGTTTCCCTTCCTCTTCCATTCTCAGCTCTCCATCTCTCTGCTTGCCCTGAGGACACACATAACGTCAGGGCTTGTCCTGTGGACAGTGAAGCATTTTATTCTCTTGCGAGAGGCCCAGGCAGAGAAACATAACCCTGTCCCCGGCCATCTCAGAGCAAGAGAGGCTCCCTGACAGCATCTAGTCCCCATGCTTGCTTCCCAGAATGTGGGCTTGAGGCATCAAGAGGGCCAAGCGGTAGGAAGGAACACTGGGGATTTAGGGCATACTGTGTTGAGCTTCTAAACAAAAGGTCAATGGTTCGAATTTACCAGCCAATCCCAGGGAGAAAGATGCATTGTCGTCTTTGGTAAATATTGACAGCCTCAAAACCCTAAAGGAGGCTCACTCTGTTTGAGTGGAAATCAGTGCAGATAGTGCATTTCGCAAATAACGTGGTTAGTTAGTGGTGGAACTCAACTCACATCCAGGCCTCCTGCCGTCCGGGCTCCCTCCCGCCGTCCGGGCTCACTCCCGCTGTCCAGAAGGGAGACACCATAGACAGTCCAGAAATCTGGGAGGCTGAGAACATCAAGATGATCTGTGTAACTCACACATGCTTCATGGTGGCAAATGCCTGTCTGGGGAAGAGAACTTGGAGCCCAGAGATTAAACATTCACTTTGCAGCCGGTAACTGTCCTCCTGCCCCTTGTCCTCTGGTATCCTGAGGACGTGTCCTCCCAACCTCCTCTTGACTCTGTCATCCCACACCACTGGGGTGCTGGGTGCCTTGTGGTATTTTTCACCTCTGCATCTTGTTCCACCAAGTCCTGTCAGCTGGCCTTCTTGGCCTGCCCGTCAACTCCAGCCTCAGCTCCATTGTAGGTCCTCACCTTTGCTAGCCTGGCTCTTCACATGCTCATGAGCTCTTCTGCCCACCTGACTTAATACCACAATCCTTAAATCCAAGGGAAACTTCCAGAATGTCAGGTCCCACCTAAGTCCTCGTCACACCCCATGCTGGGCTGGCATCCTGTGCTAGTCCATAGTCAAAGCCTCATAAACATGAACTGTGTGCATGGAACAGGCGCGCTGAGAAGTGTCTCACTCACCTTTTCTAAGGACTTCTGGAGCTCTAGGGAAGATCTAGGGACTTGCAGAGCGATACAAGTTGAGTGCCTAGAATTTCCTAGTCAGATCCCATGGACGGCCACAAGAACAAACAAAATATGTCTTGGAGAAGGTGCAGCCAGAGTGCTTCCTGGAGGCAAAGTGTGACGAAGCTTCATCTCACGTACTTTGGACGTGTTGTTAGGAGAGGTTATTCCCTGGAGAGGCACATCATGCTTGGGAAGGTGGAGGGTCAGTGAAAGAGAGAAAGACTCTCAACCAGGTGGGTTGACAGAGTGGGTTTAACTGTGTCAGAGATTGTGAGGATGGGACAGCATAGGACAGTGTTTATAGGCTCGCTGTGGGACACCTAACAACAACAAGAAGCCAGTTTACTGAAGGAGGTGACAAGTGTGGAGATGACCAAGATACCAGAAAAGTGATGGTAGAGAAGGCCTGCCTGGCATCAGGAGGCAGGCTCGCTGCGTATAGTGCAGAGCAGTTGACAACCTGGTACCCCTGGAAGGGTCGTGTGGTCAGGGGTGTGGGTGTCTGATGGAATGTTCTCAGGCACGTCAGCCTTCACTGCTGGCCTGGAATGGGGCCCTGATCCTCTAGTCCTGACATGCTAACCCCATCTTCACCCTCCCAAGGTCTGGGCCTCCCCCCATGAGACACTGTGGGTACTTTGGGCTCTGTACCACGGAGGACCCCACGCTCGATTTCACAGTGGAGCTAATTTGGTGGGTGATTTTCTATCTCTGCTTCCTTTGAAAAGGGGCTTTGCCACCTCAACTCTTGGGATCTCTCTGATCTGACATCCCAAGTTACATCATTTTAACCTGAAGCTTCATGTTCAAGTTGAAATACGAACAATGCTAGTTTGAGGAGAAAGGAAGATGTTCCCATCTAGAGGACGTGCTTTTAGAACACAGAATACATTTTCCCCTTTCAATCATCCACCTGACCTTCTGACATTTCCTGGGTGCCCTTAACCCTGGAGAAGAACATCATGCTGGGTAGGGTTGAAGGTCAGTAAAAAAGAAGATGACCTTCAGCAGACAGATCAACAGTGGCTGGCACAGGGGGCTCAAGATAGCAAGGATTGTGAGTTCATTGCAGAGCCAGGCTGTGTTTCACTCTCTTGGTTACGATGTGTCAAAACCAACTCGACAGGGCTAACCACAGCATTGTGTTTGGTAAAACAGAACTCACCCCAGCTCTGCCCACATGGACCTCCAAAGAGGGAGGGGAAAGAGACCATCGATGAATAGCAGTTAACAGTGATCCGTACTGGGACCGAAGAAGAGGTAGAGACGGACGCCAGGGGAAACGCAGGAAAACCATTGTTAACGCTCCCATCAGTTGCCCTGGAGCTGGCTCTGGTTCCGAGCTGACCCTCCAGTGAGTCTTCAGGGCTGGAAACCACACAGCAGGCAATCATCTGTCTTTCCCTCTCAGCATCTGAAGATCGAATCCAGCTTCTCTTAGCAGTGCAGCTCCAGCAGAGGCTTGCTACGGAGTTGGAACGGACTCAGAGCTGGCCCTCCAGCGGGTTTTCAGAGGCTGTAAATGTGCAGGAGGAGAGGAGATGGTCCGTCTTCTCCCTGCAGAGCCCTGGTGGATACAAACTGCCAGTGAGGCATCACCTTTGGGTTCACAGTGCACCTCCCGACGGGCTCCACCACCAGAACCCCCTGCTTTCTAGGACTATGGGCGTCAAAAACACATAGCAACAAAACCCACACAAAACTGAGCATGTCTGAGGACTGCTGATATGACAGAGGACGAGGTTGGGGAAATAAGCCCAAAGTCATCTTAAAGGGTCTTAGATATTTGGTCTTAGAAATGTGACCTTTTCCCTAGAAGCCAAGGGGAGCTGTTGAAGGTGTTTGAAAAGGGGAGAGAAATGTGATCAAGCTGCTCGACGAAATGAGGGTAGGATTTGGGGAGCGTCCTGGAGGTCACTGTATCAGGCTGCAGACGGAATCATGGACCGTGGGTGCTGGAACTGGAGCTGTTGATGACTGAGGTCTCAAGTCGGGGCCACATGACTCCACCATGAGAGCTTGGACAAGTCTTGGCACCTCTTAGCCTTGGTCTCTGCCACTGCGGCAAACCTTGACGTGGTTGGACTGAGGGTCTAGGGACAGTAAGGGTCTGCAGCCTCGGGCTGGTAGTGAGCGTGGGCTACCCACCAGGGACGTTAGGCTTGGGGGACTCTTGTGACGTGAAACTCCTCCCCTCTGAGCACTGACCTTTCTGGGTCTGAGAGGTTGGTGTTACCAGCTATGAGCTTAGCTTGATGAGCCCAAGGACGAGAGACCTTCACTTATCCATCAGCCACTGTACTGAACCTGTTGCCCTCTGTTATCGAGTTGATGCTGACTCAGAGTGTCCTGCAGTTCAGAGTAGAACTGGCCCCAGAGGGTTTACTGGACTCATCTTCCTCCCCCGGAGTGGCTCGTGGATTTGAACCACCAACCTTCTGGTTAGTAGCCGAGCAACTAACCCACTGCGCCATTGGGGCTCCTTTGCTAAGCATGTTGCATGGAGGAATTATCTTAATCCTGTCGCTTGATGATGTTGTTATGTACCATTGAGCAGGAACTGACTCATAGCTGACCTTCCGGCCAGTTTTCAGGGCAGTTAATCTCGTAGGAAGAGAATGCCTCTCTTTTTTTCCTGTGGTGGATTTGAACCATGTGCCTTTGGGTGGGAAGTATAACTCCTTACTATTGTGTAGTATATTTCATCCTCATTTTGTCCAGGAGGAAATCAAGATACAGATTGGCAGACAGGATTAAAGTCACACAAAGATATTTAGTCCTGTCCCCAAGCCTGGCTGCAATTACCTTTATTATTATGTTTGTTTGTTTGTTTAATTATTGTTTTTTTTGGGTTTTTTTGTTTGTTTGTTTGTTTAATTATTGTGTACCATCGAATCAGATGTGGCTGGCAAAAAGGAGGAGATAGCCTCACCTTCTCAGAAAGCATCTGGTAGATTCGAACCACCAGATCTCAGTGCAGCTTCTTGCCACTAGGCCACCAGAGCCCCCTTAATTATTACCTCTTTTTTGATCACTGTCTTACTAGAAAGGCAGTCAGTTGTTGCTGAACAAACCAAACCAGACAGACCTTAGTGGAAGAAGGTCAGTCCTCAGTCCTGGCCTGCCTCGTTATCTGGGGCGACCAGTTACTCATTGGACATAAGAAAGTATGTAAACATTAACTGTTGTCCTGAAGAACAGACATAGGAGCACAGTGGTGTCTCCTGGGCCGAGTAATTTCATCCTAAAGACTGTTTAACAAGGGAGCTCTGGTGGCCTAGTGACAAGAAGCTGCACTGCAGTCTCAGAGGTATGCGGTTCAAATCCACCAAATGCTGTGCTGGAGAAGGAGGCGAAATCTCCTCCTATACCAGTCAGATCCAATTTGATGGTAAACACACACAAGAAATAATAAAACAAAATTCAAAAAGACTGTTTAACAGATGGTGACTGGCTGATTGGCTGTTTGAGGGCCTTGGTTTAATAGTCTAATCATTCTTCAGCAAACAGTCTCCCGTTCTTTGCTAACCTTCAACCCCTCTTCAAGGCATTGGGAGTTTCTTCTCTCGCCTATCTCTGTTCCCTAGCTGTGTGTCCTGAGATTAGTGGCTTAACTTTTTGTACTTCTGCTTTATCTGTTGGAAAACAGAGATATGATGAGTCAAGGACTGTTGTTGGAATTATAGGCGATAATATGTGCAGACTAGGGAATGTGGCACCCAGCACAGACCAAGCACGCAGAGGACACCCATTCCTGTCCTGTAGTGCTGTCCACGAGCTCTGGGCATGAGCTCACAACTCTCTTTTCTCCACATTAGGTGTGGACCTGAAGGTGAGTTGTCTGCGTGGGACACAGAACTCCCTGAGGGCCCCATGATCCAGTAGGGAGGGCCAGTCAGGCCCGTGTACTGTGTGCCGTCTACCTGCAGACATGAGCTCAGTAGTGTGGACATGCACCTTCCCCTCTGCTTGACCTCCCAGCCTCTCTCAGTGTATTGTCCACCTCCTACGGACCGGTGTCTCTCTCTCTCCTGTTCTCTTATGTGAGGTCTCCTCACACCCTGACTGCCTGTGAATGGTAGATGTTTTAGGGGGGTTTGGGGGAGGCCCAGTGGATTTCTGGGGTGCTCTGGTTGTGGGGGAAAGGCCCCCTTAGTCACAAAACAGCAATCGGTACTCTCTCCTGACCTTGTGTCCTTGTGTATGTCCATATGTTTTTACATCCCAAAAGAAATACGTAACAGATCTTGAAGTTGAATAACTATCTCCAAGCACTTGTATCCTAACAGCTTAGTTACTATTTGAAGAACATATGCACATTAATCAGAAGGGAAAATGGGTTTATTTCATTCTTAATAATTGCAAGCACCCGCTGTGTTAGTTTTTCAAGGCTGCTGTAACAGAATTACCACAAACTGAGTGGGTTAAAAGAAAATCTATTCTCCCAGTGTGCCTAAGACTAGAAGTTCAAGATTAAGGTGCTGGTAGCGCAGTTCTGTCTCTGAAAGCTCTAGGAGGAGTTGACCCCTGTGGGTTCTCTGCTGGTTACAACATCCTCGACTTTCCTTAATTTGTAGACACTCTGTGGATACGTTCTCCTTGTGTGTCTGTGTGTCTGTGCTGCTTGTTATATAAGGACACCAGTCATTGAGGTAGAGTCTGTCCTAATGATCTCATCTTAATTGCTTCCAGCAACAAATACCCTTGTTCTAAGTAAGGTCAGGTGCCCAGGAAGCAGGGGTCAGGACTTCAGCATAACTTTTGGGCGGACAGAATTCAACACAACCCATCACACTGATTTTTCAAGTCAACACTGATTTTCACAACAGCTCCTGAAAACACAGCTTCACACAGATCCGCTGTCGTAGCAAGGGAGGTGTATGAGCTTCTGTGAATCTCTGAGCCCTCCAGAGCTATTCTAGCCGCTGTGGAGTCGAGAATAACCCATGGTGACCCTGTGAACAGCCGATCTGAACCCCGTCCTATCCTGTACCGTCCTCACCGTCTCCCATACTCTGCAGCCCACTGCTACAGTCGCTGTGTTAATCCACCCGATTGAGAGTCTTCCCCTATTAGCTTGCATGGTGTAGACCAATGTCACAGGCTACTGTATTTTTCTTTAAAGTTTGAAACATGCCGCTGGGCGCCGTGACTTCACGGTGGTGCCCTGGGGCACCTTGGCACACAGTGTGGGAACTGCAGGCACCAGCCCCAAGAGAGGTTTGAGTGAAGCCCTTGTTCTCAACACTGCCCCCGACTCTCATCTGCCTGTGTCTGCCTCAGTTCGACCTCGTTTGTGACCGGAAGTACCTGAAGGAGACCTCGCAGTCCGTGTACATGGCTGGGCTCCTCCTGGGAGCACTTATCTTTGGGCCTGTCTGTGACTGGTAAGACCCTGAGTGGCTGACCACTGGCCCAGCAGCAGTCTCTTAGCTTCCCGGTCCAGGGCTGGGTTACCCTGTGACTCCCTCACACTGGATTCTGGGACCCCCTAGATGGGCCTCCCAGGCACAGAGATTCCCATGGCAGGGCGGGCTCTTCTGGCTTCTTTCCCCTTGGGAGGGACCCTGACCCCCAGACCTGCCTCTTTGCACCCCTCCCCCAGGGCTGGCCGCAAGGTCACTGTCCTGGCCCAGCTGCTGCTGTATGGCGTCATGGGCCTGATCACGGCCTTCATGCCCAGCTTTGAGCTCTACACAGTCATGCGTTTCACGGTGGCCACGGCCGTGGCTGGCTACACATTCAGCAGCATCACCCTGCGTGAGTACTGAGGACCTGAAGGCTTGATCCCGTGTGTGATGAGAGGCTCCCAAAATCCCAGGCTGCACCTGGCCCCCGGGCTGCCTGGACGGACTTGCCAGGCACCTCACACTAAGCCCTCCAGTGCTGGTCACGAGTCCCCGGGTCCTAACAGGACAGCATCCGAGGATTCCTGGGAATGGGTGGGAGGGGGAGTGTCAGGCTTTCATCCTGTGCAGCTTCTCTGTTCTCACAGTTGCAGAGTGGTTGGGACCCTCGTGGAGGACCCAGGTGCTGGTCCTGGCACAGTGTTCCTTCTCCTTGGGCCAGATGTTACTGGCAGGAGTCGCCTATGCGATCCGCAACTGGCGGCTCTTCCAGATTGTGAGCTCTGTGCCCATCTGTCTGCTCTTCTTCTACGTCTGGTGAGGGGACACTTCCCAGGAGCAGGTCCCCCTTGCGTTAGCTGCACTGGGGTGGGATGGAGTCGAGTACCCCGATTCACCCCATGAGATGCAACCTGGCTGGAGAGGAATCCTGCAAGGGCTGGAGTGTGGGATTCCGGGCACCCTTGCACTGCTCAGGAAGGCTCCGTAGACTATCAAGGGGGGTGGGCCCACAGGACCCCAACACCCTGTCACAGCCACTCTTGACCCACAGGGTTCTGCCAGAATCTGCACGCTGGCTCCTGATTCGAGGAAAGGTGGACGAAGCCAAAGTGTTGATTCAGAAGGCCGCCTCTATCAACAAGCGGAAACTGTCCCCAGAGTTCTTAGACAAGGTACGGCCGGCCTCCCCGGGCCCAGATCTGCTCCCAGATCAGATCTCTGCTGTTTCCTCATCCTGCGTCTTCCTCCCAGCTGGCTCCAGAAACGACAGGCCCCTCCGGGAATGCCCTGGACCTGTTGCGACATCCCCAGCTCAGGAAGATGACCCTGATTCTCTTCTACGTCTGGTGAGTGCCCCCCCCGGCCAGTGTCTCCCCCCACCCCCCTCACCCCCGACAATGTGCAGGAAACCATGCTGCCCTCGTCTGCATCGGTACAACGGTGAGATGGCCGCTTTCTGACTCAGTGGTCTGCCTGGGAGTGACTGTCTATCCCTGGCTGAACCGCTGTCTCCTGTTGGGACTCCACTGGAGTTGGGAGGGCCTGTCCCTCAGCAGTGGCAGGGACTCTGGGACAATTTGCAGGTTTGTCGACTCCATGGTGTACTTCGGCATGGGCTTCCAAGTGGGGAACTTCGGCCTGGACATCTACCTGACTCAGCTGATCTTCGGGGCCGTGGAGGTTCCCGCCCGCTATTCCAGCATCTTCATGATGGAGAAGTTGGGTCGCAAGTGGAGCCAGCTGGGAACTCTGGTTCTGAGTGGCCTCATGTGTCTCATCATCATCTTCATCCCAGCAGGTACCAGGGCTGCCTGTGCCTCATCTCTGTCTGTTCCTCGCCAGCTCCCATCAGGGCTAGACCTCTCTGGTCATTGATCCCACTCTCAGGAGTGAGGGTGTCCCCACGGCTGGGGTACAGAAGGGGTGAGGAGTTTGGAACACAAGCCGGGGCCAGGTGATGGGCTCTCTGTCTCCTCCCAGATCTGCCCGTGGTGGTCACTGTGCTGGCCGTCATAGCCAAGTTCACCACAGCGTCTTCATTCACCATCTCCTATGTGTACACAGCTGAGCTCTTCCCCACCATCATCAGGTAAGGCCAAGTTCCGCTCCTCTGCCCCTGCAGGCCTTCCTGCCCCCATCGCCATCCCATAAGGAGTTGATGGGGCGGCTCTGGGGCAGCAATGCTGGGTGAGATCCAAGACTGGTCCAAGCACTCAAGTTGTCTCCAGGGGAGTGAACAAACAGATGAGGAGTGGAACATGCCCTACCAGGTCAGGACAGGACAGGAGTATGGGAGGTGAATGGTCCTGAAGGAGGGACAGCCGGCAGAGAAGGGGACAGGAGGCATCAAGCCTTTCCTCTGACTTGACTGTTGTGTGGGAGACAGGCTGGTGACCAGGGACTGAAACATGACACATGGTCAAGCTACAAGTTGTTCAGTGTGCAGGAATAGAGAGCAGTGGTTGTGAGAGGGGCTTGGATGAGCCTGGAGATCTGTGGACCTTTGGAGGCCATATTAAAAAGTCTAGATGCCTTTGAACTGTGATGCTGGAGAAGAGTATTGAGGGTACCATGGACTGCTGAGAGAACAAACAGGTTCATCTTGGAGAAGGTGAAACCAGGCTGCTCCTTGGAGTCAAGGATTCTGAAGCTTCATCTGACATACTTTGGGCATGTTGTAAGTAGGGACCAGTCCTTAGAGACGGGCATCATATTTGGGTGGGTGGAGGAAAAGTACAAGACAGACAGACCCTGGATGAGATGGATTGACTCAGTGACTGGTGTAATGGGGGTAGATGTGTCAGAGACAATGAGGTTGGCTCAGGATAGAGCAGGGCTCAGAGCTGTCATACAAACGATCACAATGAGTCGCAAGTGACTCAATGGCACATAACAACAGGTGGTTCTAAGGAAGTGTGTAGGGCAAGGCTGCGACCCTGAGTTGAGGCCAGGTGTGCTCACCCAAGCCGGCCTTCCCCCAGGCAGACAGGCATGGGGCTGGTGGCCATCTTCTCAAGGATTGGCGGCATCCTCACACCACTCGTGATCTTGCTGGAAGAGTACCACAGGGCCATTCCTATGGTCATCTTCGGCAGTCTCCCCATTGGAGCAGGCCTGGCTTGCATCCTACTGCCGGAGACGCGTGGTCTGGCCCTAAGGGATACCATTGAGGATCTGGAGAAGACGCCCCCTCCACGGTGAGACGCTTTCTTTCTCTGAATTTTATGTGCAGGGTCTCATGTCATAAGAGTCCACTTTCCCAGTGGTCCATCTCGCTGTTAGGCCGTCACGGATGGTGCCCCTCTTGGGTCATTGTCATCCGACTGGTGTTGGGTCCGATTCTCCCTTATTTTGGAGAGGATGATGGTGAGTGAGCAATTCAGAGCAGCCAGTGACAACCTTTTACTCCCTCCAGGTCCCCAGAGGCAGCACCTTCAGAAAAGGGAACAGAGGCCACGGGGAAGTCTCCCAGCTCGGGGGTGGCTGCTGTGAGCAGCACTTACTTCTGATTGTGGTCTGTAAAGGCCAGACCACCAGCAGCAGCAATGAGCATTGCTGTGGAGATGTGACCAGTACCTGTGGGGAACCAGGGGCACGGCCATGTTTGCTAATGGAGACAAGAGATCATGAACTCCATCAGTACCGCGGAGTCCAATTTCAGAGTCATCCGGTATAAGACTCCCTTCCTCCTTTACTTTTTCTTATCTCCAGAGCTCCTGGTCAAACATCTCATCTCCAAATCCCAGTTTGGCTTAGGATCTGGATTCTGCCTTGACCTAATCCATTCCCTGGTAGTTTTAGAGGAGGATGACTCAGTTTTAAACTGGGTTCTCTGCAGGGACCAAACCATTCATGCTTTTGTATGTAGGGGTATTAGAAATTTGTCTCTGGGGAGCTCTGGTGGCCTAGTGGCAAGAAGCTGCACTACAATCCCAGAGGCACACAGTTTGAATCCACCAGATGCTCTGCTGGAGAAGAAGAGGCCGTCTCCTCCTGCACCAGTCAGATCTGATTTGATGGTACACACATACAAAAAATAATAAAAATTTAAAAAAAAAAAGAAATTTGTCTCAAGGAAATAGTCCCAAATCTATAGGTCAGACGGCAAACGAGGAGCTTCTCCTGACACATGCAGCTGCAAAGGCTGAAGAACCCAAGATCAGCAGGTCAGACAACAGGCTGCTGCCTACAGAGACTGACAAATCCAAGATTAACAAGCAAGCCATATGGCCGGGCACTGGCTCAGGTCCAAAGAACCAGAAGTCACATGATGACAGCAAAGCAAGAGAGCTTTGCCAAAGCGTATGTATTTGATGAAGGCCACGCCCCCAGGGGAACTCTCTGCTTTATGTCAGAAGTTGTCAAGAGAATAACTACATCATAGCTGTCAAGCCAGAGAATGACAGGCAGCCAATTTGCCACACAACCTTAACCTCCAAAGTCTACACTTTAAAAACTTGATCTTGTACCCATTTCTTTTAACTCTGCCTAATTTCTAAATAAAGACAATTATAACATTGTACTTGTACCTAGTATGATACAGCTATCACACTTACAACCAAAAACCTCATTTTTATCTTGGTATTATTATTGTTATTATTATTATTAGTGTACCATCAAATTGGATCTGACTGGTACAGGAGGAGATTGCCCCTCCTTCTCCAGCAGAGCATCTGGTGGATTTGAACCACGTACCTCTGGGACTGCGATGCAGCTTCTTGCCACTAGGCCACCAGAGCTCCTTCTGAATGGTTTTTAATTGAGATTTTATTCTTCTAGAACCGCATTCTTTTAGAAGATGTCACGGTTCAGAGCTCTGAACACTCAAGCTGGCAGAAGTCTTAAACTTGTAGGGGGAAAAAAGGTCCACCCCATATCTGGAAGGACAGGGAAAATTTCCATCCATAGGGTGTGTTCCTTATGCAAAGGCTTAGGGACTTCCACTGACACGGCGAGGTCACTTGGAGACTCTCCCCCCTACCTCAGTCAGTCCTTGGGAGTTGAAGCCGGTTGAGCTCCTGAAGTGGAACGCTACCCCTCACCCCACCCTGAGAACCCCATTGTGACACTGCCCGGGCCACCCCACCCTAAGAACCTTCCTGCCTCTTTGTGACACTGCTTCCCTGGTCATCAAGGGTCCGACTGGGCCTGCACTGTGGCCAGGTGGGCCCTGGCTTTGGCTTGTGCTGTTCCCCCAGGGAGGAGGAACCAGGAGGGTGTAGCGGGGGCCAATTATGATGCCATCCAGCAATTGTGAGGCTGAGTTCTCAGCACGGATGTGGACAGGACTCCGCCTGGGCTTGTTCGGCTATAGGGCGTCTGTGAAAGGAGCAGGCTGTCCTTGTAAGAAGCGTGAGTTCACTGGCGTGGCGTCCGACCATTCCCTGCCCTTAGGTATGACACTGCTCCTGGGCCACACTCCCCCTTTTCAGGCCTCTGTTCCCTCTTTTATCGGTTGAGAACAGAAGACCAGGACCGTGTGGGCCTTACAGGGCATCTTTGGCATCATTTGACGGAGCAAGCATTCCAGAACCGTATAGACCATCAGGCCTCTAGAGACATTTGGGTGGCACTGTGGAGAGTCCAAGCTTTCCCGCCGGGAGAGCTTGGTCCTGCTCCCGTCCAGCCTGGAAGATAAATCTATGAGAACAAAGTTTCCCTCCTTCCATTCCTGGGAAATCTTTCTTGTCCACCCTAACTTCCCTCCCTGTCAAGGGGAATTACACACTCAAACACACACTATCCTGGCTTCTCATTGCTGTCACAATATATAGCACGACTGACTTAGTGTCTCAATTCAAGAAAAACAATTCATTAACTCACCGTTCTACAGGTCAGGACTCTGAAACGGGTCTTCTGGATTAAATCCAAAATATGGACAGGGCTGGATTTCTGGAGGCTCAAGGGGAGAATCCATTTTTTTTTGTGCTTTTCTCACCTCTAGGGAACTCTTGTGGCTTCGAGGTAAGGAGCTGTGCTGGCCACCCAAAGGCAGGGGTTTCAAATCCACCAGCTGCTGCTTTTTTTTTTTTTAATAATTTTATTAGTTTTTGTGTGTGTACCGTCAAATCGCATCTGACTGATACAGGAGGAGACTGCCCCTCCTTCTCCAGCAGAGGATCTGGTGGATTCGAACTGCGTATCTCTGGGATTATAGAGCCCCTTCTTGCCAGTAAGCCACCAGACCTCCCTACCAAGCTGCTTCTTGAGAGAAAGATAAGGAAATCTCCTCTGGTGCTTTTGAAAACCCACTGGAGGGCCAGCTATGAGTTGGTGGTGACTCAGCATGACAACAGAGGCTGTTCTTGGTTTGTGTCTCCTTTCTGTCTGAAAGCCTCTGTCCTGGCGGATTAAATCTTTCTCACATGGACCAGGAGATTACTCTGACACTCATTCTCCTGCCTCTTGTCCACATTGAAAGGACTCTTACGATGGATTTCACAGCACTGAAAATGCTATGTGACAGTTCTGCTCTGCACGTGGGAAGTTAACCATCAATCAGAATCAACGCCGTGGCAACTGAAAACAACAACAAACATAACATAATCCAGGATCATCTCTTTATTTATTTGACTGGTGATCTTATTCCAAACCCTTGTCATAGAAATATAATCACAGCTGCTCTAAAGTGTTACCACAAGTAGATAGATGGCTTTAGGAAGCAGAAATTTACCATCTTACAGTTTAGAAGGTTAAGTCCAAGTTCAGCCTAGAAGGTGGCTCTAGAGTATGACCCGCTCTCTCTGCTTCAGTGGTGGAGGAAAGCCCTTGTTTCCTTTAGTGGGTCAGCCCAGTGTCCCCTGGTGACCGCCATGCGCCTTGGCTCTCTGTAGAATCAAGCTTCCTTATGAAGAAACTTAAGACTTAAAGGGCAAGCTCCACCCTTGGCAATTCTTTCTTGGTGGGAAAGTTCTTCCTCTTGGCTCCTTTTCCTTTTAAACTCTAGGGAAACCCGCCTCACATCAGTTTAGGGCTCTGATGAGATTAATGTGTTTTGCATTACACCTTTAATCCTTTTATAGTTATTTGGTTTATCAGTTCATGGGGATGATTCTATAGCTTCTCTATTATATCATTGTTGTTACTGTTGTTAAGTGCCGTGGAGTCGCAGGTGACTCATAGCGACCCTATGAAAGAGAGTCCTCAACGCTTGGGTGCCTTTCATCCTCCATCCAGGTTCATAGGGTTTCGGGAGGCAAGCTATTACGGAAGTGAATGCCACTCCTCCTTCCAAGATTATATCATTACATGTATGTATTTAAGGGAGACACAATTCTACTTTTCACATTGTTCTGTGCCAACTCAACCTATACACATACAAACACCAAACACACACACTCACTCTCTTTCCCACTTTCTCTCTCTCCCATTCCCTCTCTCCTCTCTCTCTCACTGGCTCTCTCATATTCTCTGTCATTTATATATATGTTCCTTTACGACTGAGGTCAGACAGATGGTGTAGATGAATGAAAAGCACTAAGAAGACTAATGGTCATGGACCCTGGCATCATGTTAGAATAAATCCATAGAACAGGACCCGTGGTGAGAAAAGTCAGTCCTCACTTTAAAGAGGGTGTGTGTGTGTGTGTGTGTGTGTTGCTTGCTGTTGAGTCAAGCATGACTCATAGCGACCCTATGAACAAAAGGCCTGAAGCCTTTCTATAACTAGCGACATTCACCAAAGTTCCTAGAGTTTCCAGAGGCAGAGGTAGCCCCTGCTAACCTTTAGCCAGCATTGTGCTGTGCGAATACTGACCTGGATTGTTCCTGAATTTATGTGCAATCACCTGTTGACAGCTAATTCATGCTCTGAGAACAGTGGTGGACCAACCAATACAGTCCAGGTAAAGCACATGTTAATGAATGTAAATGTGAACTGGACTCCAGAACAGAGGAACTGTGGCTGGTTGGGGTTGTGGGGACAGCCCCCCTCTCTGACTGACAGGGAACTGACCCCTCAAGAGGAACTAGATGAGACGTGTGCACTTGGAGCCAAGAGTACAGCTCGAGGCTGTGGACAGCCCCCCTCTCTGACTAACAGGGAACTGACCCCTCAAGAGGAACTAGATGAGACGTGTGCACTTGGAGCCAAGAGTACAGCTCGAGGCTGTGGGTGGTTAAGCCCAGGATTAACTCACCAAGCTGACAGTGAGCCCCTTTCTATCCCCTTTGCTCTGCCCTCAAGAGTGGTCCAAGATAGTGAGAAACAGCCTTGGTGTCTGGCAGTAAGTGACAGTGAGGCGGTCGTTCAATGAAAACTCTGCTACCATTAACAACGTGGGTGTGAAGGTGGGTTTTGCAGATGGAAGACACTTAAAGTAGATGAGATCACAGGCAGAAGCTCACTGCATCCATTTCCTTGAATTCCAAGAACTACATAACACAGGAGGAGTGGACTAAAATAACAAGTTAATCCTCTCAACAGTGTTGAAGGCAGGAAGTCTGCATTCAGGGTGCCTTCTCTCTGAAGCCTGCAAGGAAAAATTCTTTTGTCTCCTCTAGCTTCTGGCTTGTGGGCAGTCTCAATATTCTGTATTCCAATTTGCTAAGTTTTATGGCTTCTAATTGCCTATTTTATGTTGTATCATTATTAGTCTTGTGGGGTTCTTTTTCTCTGAGTTTTTCTTATCACCTCTCAGTTCAAAATACTTGGCGTCTCTTAAAGACCAGCATCCTCTCGGACATGCAGTGAGGTTCAACACATTCAAGCCTCAGCACAATCTTCTTTGTGGTTTCGGCCTTCTTCCGGAAAAATGGGCTTTGACTGCCCGCCACAGCCACTCTGCTTCCGATCATAGGGCCTCTTGCCTTGAGCGTACAGGGAATCCTTTCCCTTCTTGTACTGGGTCATTTTGTGCGACTGATGCTTGCCACACTTCTTGCAGAAAGTTTGGGGTACATTGATCTTCTCTGCAGCAGAGTTGTCTATGCAGCGTAAACTGGGACTACAGGGTGCGTGCTCCTCCCCTCTCTCCACTCATGCCTCAATGCTGGTTTTCTTTTTTTTTTATTATTATTATTAATTGCAATGAAAATTTACAGAGACTTTGAATTTCCATTCATTCATTGTTGCACTTTTCTCCCGTCCCAACCCTCCCCCCACCCAGTACACTCCCCTCTTGGAAAAGTGAAAGAAAAATTCTTTCATTGTTTTACAATCCCTCCCCCCAGGTCCACTCCACTATACAGCCTTCACTCTGGACTCCTGTCATGACAATAATACCTAATCACATATCCCTTTTAAACAGTTTTCTCCCTCATCTGTTTCAATGCAGTATACATTATTGAATCCATCTTTCTCAGTCTCCCCCCAACCCCGATGTCAGTCCTGTTTTACAACAGTGGCACCATTCAGTATTTGTTCTTTTGTGACTGAGATACTTAGCATAATCCATTTTGAATAATATTGCATGAGTTCCTTGTTTTTCAGTGCAGCATAGTATTCCATTGTGTGAATATACCACAGCTTCTCTATCCGTTTGTTGATGGGCACTTAGGTTGTTTCCAACTCTTTGCTATTGTGAACAAAGCTGCGATAAACATGGGTGTGCATATATCTGCTTGGTGTCAGTTATGGTCTCTTTGGGTTATATTCCCAGTAGTGGGATTCCTGGGTCAAATGGTATCTCTATTTGCAACTTTTGGAGAAAGTGCCACACCGCTTTCCACAGTGGTTGCACCATTTTACACTCCCACCAACAGTGAATAAGGGTTCCAGTTTCTCCACAGCCTTGTCAGCATTTGTTACTTGCTGTTCTGTTAAATTTTGCTATTCTTACCAGGGTGAGAAGATATCTCATAGTTGTTTTGATTTGTATCTTTCTTAGAGTTAGGGATTTTGAACATTTCTTCATGTGCTTGTTAGCCATCTGAATGTCTTCTTTGGTGAAGTGTCTGTTCATATCCTGTGCCCATTTTGCAATTGGATTGTTTACCTTTATCCTGTTGTGGTGCTCAAGTATTTTATAAATTCTAGATATAAGTTCCTTATCTAACATGTCATTACCAAATACTTTTTCCGCAGCTTGTGGCTTCCCTTTTTACTCTGTTGGAGAAGTTTTTGGATGTAATGCTGGTTTTCTAATGTAGAAAGACCATAACCTTCTTCCTAGTAATTTTCATTTCACCAATTGTTTTCATTTTCAGAAATTCACTATCTTCCCTGATATACTTTGTATGCTCCTCTCTGTAATCAATGAAACGCAGATAGGCATTCTTCTGGTATTCCCTGTTTTCAGCTAAGATCCATCTAACGTCAGCTACAATATTCCTAGGACCACAACCCCTTCTATAAAACCAGCCTGGACTTTTGGCAGTTCTCTGCTGATGTGCTTTTCCAGTCATTTTTGGATAATCTTCAGTAGAATCTTGCTTGCATGTGAAATCAATGATATTGTTCTATAGTTTCCATACTCTGTTTGGTCACCCTTCTTTGGAATGTTTGACTGTGTGGATCATAAACTGTGGCTGACTCTGAGAAGAATGGGAATCCCAGAACATTTGATCGTTCTAACACGAAATCTATACTTGGACCAAGAGGCAGTTGTCAGAACAGAGCAAGGAAACAGTGCATGGTTCAAAATTGGGAAAGGTGTATGCCAGGGATGTGTCCTATCTCCATACCTTTTCAACCTGTATGCAGAACAGATTATCCAAGAGGCTGGGATCTGTGAGGAGAAGTGTGGTGTCAGGATTGGTGGAAACTCTATTAACAATCTGTATTATGCAGATGACACAACTTTGCTTGCTGAAACTGAGGAGGACCTGATACACTTGCTGCAGAGGGTCAAGGACTGCAGCCTTCAGTATGGATTGAGGCTCAATGTCAAGAAGACAAAGATTCTCACCACTGGACCAACTGGCAGCATCAGGATGGATGGTGAAGAGATTGAGATTGTTAACAACTTTAGTCTGCTTGACTCCATGGTCAACACTCTTGGCACCAATAGCCAGGAAATTAAAAGGCGCATTGCCATGGGAGAGTCTGCTGTTAGGGACCTCTCCAGGGTGCTGAAGAGCAATGGTGTTACTCTGGAGACTAAGGTGCATCTGATACAGGCTATGGTCTCTGCAATCACTGGTTATACATCAGAGAGTTGGATAATGACTAGGAAGAAGGAGAATTGATGCCTTTGAGCTGTGGTGCTGGAGAAGAGTATTGAATGTACTGTGGATTGCCAAGAAAACAAACAGATTCATCCTGGAGAGGGTTAAACCAGGCTGTTCCTTGGAGGCAAGGATTCTGGGGCTTCGTCTGACATAGTTTGGATATGTTGTAAAGAGGGACAGGTCCTTGGAGAAGGACATACCTGGAGAGAGTGGAGGGACAGCGCAGGAGGGGAAGGCCCTCTATGAGGTGGATTGATTCAGTGACTGAGGTAATCGGGATGGGTGTGTCAGAGGCAGTGCGATTGGCACAGGATAGAGCAGGGGTTAGGGCTGTTGTACATAGGGTCGCTATGAGTTACAAGCAACTTGATGGCATGATGGCACATAACAACAGCAACAACAACATCTCTGTAATGACATCTTCCATTTTTTACAAAAATTCATACAATAGGAATTTTATGTTCTTCATCTGACAGTTCTCGGCAATGTATTTTTAGGAGATTTATGATCTTTGTTTTGGGTTCTTTGCCTGCCCTTCATCTGTGAGATTTCTGCAGTCTTGACTTAGAGAAATTCCCCTTCAAAGAAAGCTTTCTTCTGCTTTCTCTGAAGGCTGGGACAGAGGATGCCCCAACCCTTGGCTTCTTCAACCTTGCAAAGGATTCTGGCTCGAAACAAAACTCCACTCTTAGTTTTTCCTCTTATTATTGTCCCAGGGTAATATCCTCACTCTCTGAATCATAACTTCACTCTTTTCTCTTTATTGCCTCTCTTATTTGACCTTTTGCCTCTAAAAATCACCTTATTGTTTTTGTCCTGCTATACCAACCTTGGCACCCAGTATCTGTGACCACAGCTTTCAGTGCTCCCCCTTGGCCCCACCTCCTAGGCTCTCCTGATTCAGTGGTGGTTCATTTGTTTTTTATGGACGTATTCTTGGAATCTTCTACTTCTTCATCTGCATTGATGGGCTACAAAGCTTCAGTTGTAAGGCAGCTACAGGAGAATTGCTCGAAACTTAGTCACACCTGACAACAGAGCATAGCATTTTCTGCAACAGTTCTCTAATGTTCTTAAATACACTAAGGATCAGGGGTAAGGGGGTCAATGAGAAATAAATCATGCTAACTAAGAAACATCAGAAGCAGAGAAAGGAATGACAGAGAACATTAAGATGAAAATCAGGGTTGTCCCAAGTCAGAGAGGCCAAGGCCAGGTCTGCAGCTCCCATGCTGACCTCTGGTGTCAGTAGAGACTGAGCTGTGGCCTTTCTTTACACAGATGATGAGGGGAAAATGACTCCAAGGAAAGCAGCTGGAATCTGAGTGTCCTTCTATGATTTGAATCCCCACTCCTGATCCCTGGAGATGTTATTTCACCAAGTGAGGGCCATTAAATGCAAGGAGGAAGAAATGTTTGACAGCGTCCTGGATGCAGTGGGGACCTTCGGCACGTTCCAGCGGAGGCTTGTGGCTCTCACCTTCGTCCCCAACATCTTGTCGTCCTTCTTCATGTTTGCGGACTCCTTCCTGTTCATGGCCCAGGAAGCCTACTGCAACACCACCTGGATCCTGGCAGCAGGTCCCAACCTGTCAGTGGCTGAGCAAATGAACTTGACCTTGCCCCGGCAACCCAGTGGCGCCTTCATGACATGTTTCATGTACTTGCCTGTGGATTTGGACCTACAGTCCATCATCCAGTTCGGCCTCAACCACACAGACTTCTGTCATAATGGATGGATCTATCCTAAGTCCAAGAAGCGGTTGGTGACAGATGAGGTGTGTCTTGTTCTAAGTTGTCTGTAGACACATGAAGGGCCCAGACATTTGCGGCCACCCTCACTAAACAGGTAGGGAAACTGAGGTCCAGAGAGGGGAAGCCATTAGCCTGAGGCCATGACCCCTGCAGAGTCAGGACAGGACAGAAGTTGAGAATTCCTACTGCTCAACCCCAGCCCTGCCTGTCTTAGCCAGGGAGCTGGAGAGGGAGGGATGGATCTTTGCAGTTCACTGATTTCCCAGGGAGTTGCTTCCCTCTAAACTCAGAGAAGACAGGGAATGGGGAAGTTATTCCCGTCCTATGCTGTTCATTATTCTTCAACCTGAGTGCGGTTGGGCCCTGCACAAAGCAAACCCAGTGGGCCTGGTCATTTCCAACTCAGAGGGACCCACAGACCCTTCAAGGCTGGAATTCTTACGGAAGCAGATTGCATCACTGTTCTCCATTCTGGCTCCTGAGCCCAAATCACCAGCTAGCAGTCAGCCTTGTGTTTAACCACTGCTCCACAAAGGGCCTGCCCCAGATCTGTCTGATTTATATCTCCAGGCTGGGGCCCAGCACCTACATTTAGGAAAGAGACATGGACTGTGGCCTGGCTGTGCTGGTTTCCCTGCCTCGTGGCCCTCTCTCCAGGCCATGTGCCTAGGTAACAGCTGAGGACCTGTTCATACAAGGCCCTTCTCTGTAAGAACCCCATCCTGAGAGAAGGCTCAGGCTCTGGACCTAGATCACTGACCCCAGGTGGAGGCCTGTGGCCAATCGCTGTCTGTAACCCACAGTTCGACCTGGTGTGTGGCATGGAAATGGACCCGGAATTTATGCTGACAGTGTACACAGCAGGTGTCCTGATTGGATCCATTATCTTTGGGTTCATCTGTGACAAGTATGTCCCAGCTTATAAACTGGTCCTTGGCTCTGCCGTCCTGCCCGCGGGCTCTGGGAGCTGAAAGCTCTCCAGCTGGGGCCGGTGCAGGCAGGGACCCTCGGGAGGCCAGTGGAGGGTTTAGGGACAAGTCTGGGACTTCTGCTGGGGAAAGATGAGGAGGTCCCTGGGCTGCTCTCCACTCCCGCAGGCTAGGCCGCTACCGTGCCATCCTGCTGTCACTACTGGGACTGATCATCTTTGGCTTCGGAACTGCCTTTGTGAACACTCTGGAAGGCTATTTGTTTTTCCGCTTCTGTCTCTCGCAGTCGGCGACAGGCTATGTCATCAGCAGCATGGCATTAGGTGAGGCTTGCTGCATGGGGTGGGGCGGGGCCTCCGCTAGAGGGGCGTGGCCTTCTTTAGAGGGGGCGTGGTGAGCCAGAACGGGGCGTGGCCGTGCAGGACGCAGCCCAGCCACAAGACCAAGATCCAAGTGCTGGGATAGGGCCCTGTCACGTGGGGGCGGGACCTAAGTGTGGGGCGGGGCCAGGTGTGTGTGTGGCCCATTCACATGGCAGCTCAGCTGAGGTGTGGGCGGAGCCCAGACTTATGGGGTGGAGCCAAGCCACATGGGGGCGGGGTCAGGGTGCTATCCAATAGACAGTGGTGTGTACCTCCTACTGTGTGTTTTTTATTATCAATTTTAATCAAAGTTTACAGAGACTTAGGTTTCCATTCATTCATTGTTGCACTTTTCTCCCTGCCCACCCCCTCACCCCAATTCACTCTTCTCCTTGAAAAGTAAAAGAAAGACTCTTTCATTGTTATACAATCCCTCTCCCCAAGTCCACTCCACTGTGCAGCCTTCACTCTGGACTCCTGTCATGACAATAATACCTAATCACATATATCCCTTTTAAACAGTTCTCTCCCTCATCTGCTTCAATGCAGTATACGTTATTCCTCCCCTCCTTCTCTATTAGGTGTCATGGAGTCGAGTAAGATTCATAATAGCGATCCTATGAAGGAAAGATCTTAGCCTTGTTCTAACCTGTGCCGTCCTCACACTTCCTGACATAAAAGAGGCCATTGCAGCAGTCACCGTGTCAGTCCGCCTGGTCGTGGATCTTCCTCTCCTTCACTGACCCTCCACCCTTCCCAACATCATGTCCCTCTCCAAGGAAAGCTGTGGAGCTCTTTCCATGTGTTGTCTTGTTGCATTTGAACAGCTCTCAGTGGTTATTCTGACTCAGAGACTACACTGCTATATCTTTAGCTGAGAAAGACCCTTGCACCTCAGAGAAATCCAGCAGCTTAATCAGTTATTAAGTAAGAGGACTGAGAGGAGATGAGCATATGCACTCATACGGCCTGGCAGCTGCCTGTACGCTCCAGTACACTTTATCTCACAGACAGCTTGTCAGAGCTTCTCCCAGGGGAATGGGGTCTTCCATGGACCCCAGACCTGGCTAGCCAAAGCCATAATGTGCTTGGAGCAAAGATGAGGACAGAGACCCTTACCTTGGGCCACACATCAGGCCATTTGCAGCGGTACTGTGTACAGAGGCAGGCTTTCTCTGTGAGGGTGGGTTCAGAGGGCATGGCTGGATTGAGAAGGTACAGCTAGGAGACTGGGCAGGCAGAGGGTATAATGTACCTCTTCCTGGCTTTGAGGGGCTGCTTCCAGACCCAAGACAGTGTATGAGGTGCCAGCCCATTCTTGGTGTAGTCTGAGCTCTCAGGGCAGGGATGGGGCACCTCTGCAGGCTGGCACAGGGGCAGCGCTGGGGACCTGCATGACCGTAGTTTTGTTCTCTTGATCTCCGCGTAGTCACTGAGTGGCTGTCGAGTGAGCACCGTGCCCGCATCATCATCCTGTCACACTGCTACTTTGCCGTGGGGATCCTGTTCCTGACGGGGCTCGCCTACAGCCTTCCCCACTGGCGGCTGCTGTTTCTGGTGGGCGGAGCACCCCTGTTCTCTGTCATCCCCTACATCTGGTAAGCAAAGGGGTGCTAGCAGCACACAGGGAGGGATCTGGGGTTGTGGAGGGTCCTGGCAGCTATGCGTGTGAGTAAGATTCCCCCAGGAGAAGGTGCGTGTGGATGAGAGGGGAGGAGCCTAAGACAAAACCTTCTTCAGAGATGTAGTCGGAGAGAGGTGTGGGAAGGAAAAGTTCAAGGTAAAGGGACTGGTGAGGTTTGAAGACAAGAACTGGGTCCGTTGACCTTGACTGTCTTCTTATGTAGGTTTAGTGGGAGTTAAGAAGTGACTCTTTTTTTTAATTATTATTTGTTATGTGTGTATCATCAAATCGGATCTGACTGGTACAGGAGGAGATTGTCCCTCCTTCTTCAGCAGAGCATCTGGTGGATTTGAACAGTGCACCTCTGGGCTTGCAGTGCAGCTTCTTGCCACTAGGCCACCAGAGCTTGCCAAGAGGTGACTCTTGTTGTGGACCAGCACTGACTCACAGATGACCCTTGAGCAGGTTTTCAGAGGCTGTAGATGATATGGGAGGAGACAGCCCATCTTTCTCCTGCAGAGCAGCTGGTGGATTCAAACCATGTACCTTTGCATTTGCAACACAATTCCTTATTCCTAGTCCACCAGAGCTGAGAAAGTAGGACCCCTCAGGTGATGACTCAGGCACAAGGGACGAGTGGTGATGTTTTGGGAGCTGAGACAAAGTCTGGGAAGAGTAACTGATGGTTTTAACTGGGGAGGCGCCACAGGCCACAACATGAGAGAGTGGTGTTATAAGGAGACAACTGAGAACAAAATTAGAGGAGTAAGAGGAAGGACCAGGAACAAGAGAGGGAGAGTCCTGCTATCTGTGAGCAGGGGGGGAAGTGAGAGAGATAGGCGAGATGCTAGAGAGGGAGGCCCTTGGTTAAGGGTTAGGCATTTCTGCGTGAAGAAATGATCCTATTGAATCTTGAAATTACGTTTCGTCTTTACAACCTTAAGAGATAGGCCACACTAATTGCCTGTTCATGGTAGTGGGAAGAGAACTGAGGTTTCAGAGTCTTAAGAGACTGTTGCCCAAGATCACACAGCTAGAAAGTGGTGGAGGTAGGATTTGAACTCAGCTTGTCTGACTCAGAGCCTGAGCAAGTCTGGGGCGGGGCCTGGGGAAAAAAGCACTTGCAGTGAATTCCAGGGGGATGCTGAGGTTGAGCTGCTGGTCCACGGGCCACACTGTGAGAAACACTGCTATTAGGTGACTCGGTGGTGAAGCACCCTGTCCCTGAGGGGACCCTAATGCAGGGTGGCTGCCTCATTCAGGCTCCCTTGCTCCCTGGCGGGGGGTGGAGACAGGGAATCTTTCTGGGACTTCACTCACTTGCCCTAAGTTGGCCTCATCCCTTGCCCCAGGGGTCCGAGCTGCCCCTTGTACTCAAGAGAGTACATACTGTGGAGAGAATTGGAGGGTCCCCTCTGTGAGCCCCAGGTGCTCTGGTCAGTACCTCACACCTCCCTCTGTAGATCGGGCCTTGGCCGTCTCCATCGCAGTCCATTTCCGAGCACTCTCCCACTCCTCTCTTCTGCCTCTTTTAGCTTGAGAGTTTGAATCTTCTTTTAGTTCTTTGTCCTACAGAGAGGGAATTCTGGTGGCCTAATGTGTAAGGTAGTTGTGTTGCCCACTCATGTACAGGCAGTTCGAATCCACCAGCTGCCCCATAGGAGAAAGACAGACAATCTCCTCCTGTGTGATTTACAGCCTCTGAAAACCCGCCAGAGGGTCGGTTATGAGTCGGTTCTGACTTGACGGCAATGAGGTTTTGAGTGTTTCTTCTGTAAAGAATGGTGGCCAGGGGAGGGGGCGAGGGGCGCACCTAAGAGATAAGCCAAAATGCTTGTCCAAATGCCCCCCCCCACCCCCAAGAGAAACACCTCAAAAGCCAGGCTTGGTAGTCTGCTTCTGAAAGGTCACACACAGCCTTGACCCCTCGTGGGACAGTTCCCTTCTGCACACATAGGGTCAGTGAGACTTGGAAACAGCTTAGTGACAACTTAGAACCGTTTTAGAGACCCTGTGGCCAGCCCTAGGCCTCTTGAGGAAATTCCAGTGTGACTTTAGGAAAATCTCACAGCTTACGAGTCCGACTCACCCACAAACAACAAGCACAAGGGGAAAGCATGGAAAAGGATTCTCACCGGTCTGTGCAGACCAGCCAGAGACTGCAGGCTGAGTTGGTGGCGGCAGCGCTGGAAAGTAGCAGGTGCTTCTGGCAGAGTCTTGGAGAGAGCCTTCCCAGGGAGCCTGAGCTCATCTCGCTCGGCCTCTGTGTCTGGGGCTGAGGCTGGGAGTCAAACAGGGACAATACAAGGTCCACGGTTGTGGGGAGATTAAGGCAGATCATATACGTAAGGATATCCGGCCCAGATGCTGACAACTACTAAGTGTTTGGATGTATTAGTCTGTGCGGCCTCTGGCAGCCACAGGGGTTTGGAGAACCCTGAGGGTCTACAGTTACTCTGAAGTCCAAGGTGATAAGGGGTGTGTGGAGGGCAGGAGAGACTGAGAGGGAGCCCCTGTTCACTCTCCATTCACTCAGGTAGGATTCTGGGCTTGGTCAGAGGCTGGTTCTTCCCCCTTCTATTACCCAGTATTTCCCCAGTGAGGCGAGCTTAGGTGTGGGCAGAGGGTCCCTGTGGCAGAGAAAGAAGATGTTCTTAGAAGCCTATTGAGGCAGAGTGACAGGGTTGGGGCTGTGATTGGCCAGGGCAGAGGAGGGACAGACCATCAGGGAGGAGCAGAGGGGCATCTCTGCGGTGGTGGTAGTAGGGGTGGTGGTTTTGAAGGCCTCTGATGTTTATGTCACATCCTGCAGAGAAGACTGGGCAGGAGTGAGTGTGAGGTGGGGCTGCCTTGGGTCTTGGGATCATCCTAGAAGGATGCGTTGACAGGGCTCTACCCCACAGGATTCTCCCAGAATCCCCACGGTGGCTGATGGTGAGAGGGAAGATGGAAGAGGCCAAGCGGGTGTTGCTCTATGCAGCTTCCGTGAACAAAAGAGTAATTCCTTTAAGTCTGCTGAGCAAGGTGCGAGGCCTCGGGCTCGGGGTGGGGCCTGGGCAGGGGGTGCTGTGGAAAGGCTCTTTGTCTCTTCACCCTTTCAGGTGGGATCTAGGTCCAGGCAGTGTCCCCAGCTCACTCGCTGCTGGAGGAGAATGGGGACAGCAAAACTGACCCTGGCCAGGGAAAGGCCAGCAGGGTCTGCTGAAGAGGCAGGTGGGCCTTCAGGGTCCCAGGAGGGTGAGCGAGCTGGGGTCTTGGCCTTGCCTCTGGCCGGTTCTGCTTCTCCTCTTGCTGCAGCTGTCTCCAAAGAAGGCGTCTTCAGCCTCCTTCCTGGACTTCTACAGCCACCGGCAACTCCGCAGAGTCATCATCGTAATAGGCTGCATGTGGTGAGTGCTCAGGACGGGCGGCCAGATACTGCAGACTCACGCCAGTCAGGACCACCAAGACGGGCGGGGTGCTAAGACTTCAGGGAGAGGGGCTGAGGACCAGTGATGAGGCCTGTGGGATGCTGGCATGGCCCAAGGAGGGGTGATGGGGTAAGACTTCAGGGAGAGGGGGTGAGGACCAGGGATGAGGTCTGTGAGATGCTGGCATGACCTAGGAAGGGTAGTGGGGTGTTAAGTGTTCAGGGGAGAAGGGGTAAGGACTGTGGGATGCTGGCATGACTTAGGAAGGGTGGGGTTCTAAGAGTTCAGGGAAGAGGGGGTGAGGACCCGGGATGAGGGGTGTGAGATGCTGGTGTGACCTAGGAAGGGTGATGGGGTGTTTAAGAGTTCAGGGAAGAGGGGGTGAGGACCAGGGATGAGGCCTGTGGGATGCTGGCAGTGGCCGCACGATCGATCACAGAGCTCCGTGTGTAACCCTCTCGTCATTTGCTGTCTTCTGCCTCTACCCTCATGCTCCGTGTGCGTGAGCATGCACGTGTGTGTGTGAGAGTGTGTGCACGTGTGTGTGTGTGTGAGAGAGAGAGAGTGCATTACGTGTGTGTATGTATGTGTGTGTGTGAGAGAGAGTGCATTACGTGTGTGTGTGTGTGTGTGAGAGAGAGTGCATTACGTGTGTGTGTGTGTGTGTGAGAGAGAGTGCATTACGTGTGTGTGTGTGTGTGTGAGAGAGAGAGAGTGCATTACGTGTGTGTGTGTGCGTGTGTGTGAGGGCGCCTCTCCAGCTCTCTCTCCTGGCCCTCTTCCAGGTTCACCATCAGTAGCTGCTATTTAACGCTGCTCTTCATAGTGAAGGACTTTACGATGAGCCCCTATGTCAAACAGATAATCCCCACCCTCCTCAAAGTGCCCGGCCGGCTGTGCTGCATGCTTCTCCTGGAGTCCATTGGGAGGAAGTGGGCCCTGGCTGTGACGCTCCTGCAAGGCTCATTCCTATGTTTGCTTCTCCTTCTACTTCCCCCAGGTAAAGCCCCTCCTTCCCCCGCCAGCCCTCCTCCTCCCTCCAAGCCCACCTGAGAGCACCCTGCCCCCCAGCTGCACACACACACACACACACACACACACACCCATGGCTGGGATCGGACCACCTCCACATCTGGGGGGCAGGCTCCATATGGGGCCCTGCCTGCCTCTGGCACCTGCTCTGAGGAGCCTGAGAGAGGACTCACATGTGCACCCGAAGCGGCTCAGTTAAATGTGAACTCACTCACTCACTCGTTGCCGTCTAAGCCATAACCAACTCAGAGCTGACCTCCCAGCGAGATTTCAGAGGCTGGAAATCGCACAGGAGGAGAGAGGCCATCTTTCGCCCTCAGAACAGCTGGTGGATTCGAACCACCGGAGAGCCACCACTTTTTGGTGAGCAGCCCCTCTCTCCAGCTGTGCCTCCGGAGCTCTCTGAATGAGAACAGGTGCTGGTAAAACTACCCAGTCAGCGGCTCCCCACCCCGCTGCTGCTTCTCATCTGTAGCAGCTCCGTCTGGGGAAGTGACTCTTCGGAGGCCTCTGGGTGGCACAGTCTCTGCTCCACAAAAACCTCAAGGTTGCTGGTTCAAATCTACTCAGCACCTCTACAGACCAATCTGGTGATCTGCTTCCCTAAAGAGTGTTACTTATGAGTCAATTCTGACCCCCACCCCCACCCCAGACTCCATGAGTGCAGATTTCAAAGCTATGACCCCTCCACCCCACCCCAGAAGGGGATCACCAGGCCTCTCTCCTGGGACCCTTCAGGGTGAGTTAGAACTGCCAGGCTTTTGGCTAATAGTCCAGCGTTTAACCATTTGCACAGCCAGATTCTCCTAAGAGAATCCCACAGAGCATCTATTCTCTGCGACATGAGGGGTTGCCTGGAGGAGAGAGCTCTGAGCAGAAACCCTGGGCCACAGGTTACAGAAAGTGTTTCCTCATGAGACCTGGGATTGAACAGGTCCCAGGAAGGGAGCTGGAGAGTGGAGCAGAGTGGGGTGGGGAGAAGCCGCAGCTTGGGCGGATTTGGGAGGGGTTAACAGAACGCTGTTGGCAAAGGTCTGGGGGAACCAGGTCCAGCCTGGTCGACAGTGGCCTGTAAAGCCTCATCTGCACTGTCCACCCCTCCTACTGCACGTATCCTGGTTCACGGCAGACTGACCCTCCTCTGCTCAGATGCTGGAGTCTGGGAGTCTGCTGACCAGGTGGGGGCACGGACTGTTCAGACAATAGGAAGGGCCCGTGGGCAAACATCCCCTGCCCACTGCTAGAGCATGGCGGGCCTGTACTCAGGGGGCTTTGTTGGCTGGCCGCAGAGTTCAACTTCCTGGCGATCCCGGTAATTCTGCTGGGAGAGCTCTGCCTGATCGGCTCCATCACCTTGCTTTTGGTTTATACGGTGGAGCTCCTGCCCACCGTCCTCAGGTACGGGCCTGGCGGGGGTGGGATGGCGTGGCCAGGGGAAGGGGGTGGGAGGGGAAGACAGTCCGGTCCATAGTGACGTTAGCAAGGGCAGCTGAACTGAGTGCTGGCCTGGCAGTGTTTCTGTGCTAAAGCACATTTCAGGGACTCTCTGTTCTCCTCTTCACAAAATCCCCAAGTGCTATCAGAACCCTGATTCAGGTGAGGAAATCGGGCAGAGGGAGGCACTTGTTCAAGGCCGGACAAAGGAAGTGGCAGGCCCAGGGAGTCTGACTGCAGATCCCAACTGGAGACTCTCTTGGGATGTGCTAGGACCCCCTCTGAGTTCAGACCCCTGGCTCAGTTGTCACTGTCTGTGTCTTCTCACACAGACAGGCTCAATCCTCTGTGCTTCCCACTTCTCCCTCTCCTGACCCCTCCCCTCCCAAGAAGAGACCCGAAAGAAGTCAAGACCCACTTTGACTCGATATAGAACAAAATTCTCCGACTTTGCCCAAGGGGCACAGACAGGGTGGCGACTGGTGGGCGTGGGGCTGCGGGAGACCGCCCTCTCCTGCCCCGCACTCAGCCTCTGGGCCTGCAGAGTTACCCAGACGAGCTCTCCGTCCCCCTTCCAGGGCGACAGGTATGGGGCTGATGTCTCTGGCTTTTGTGGTTGGAGCCATCACGTCCCTGCTGGTCCTGCTCTTCGGCAACCAGTCCTCCGCCCTGCCCATCTCCTTCTCCTGCGTCTCCGCTTTCCTCGCCTTGTTCCTTTGCTTGCTGCTGCCTGAAAAGCAAGAGCAGCCTGAGGCCAGCAGCTCCCTGGAAGACCGGTCGTCACGTTTAAGGTGGGTCATCAGGCATGGGAGGGTCGTTCTGTGGCTACAGTGGCCTCCTGGTCCTCTCTGGGGCCTGTCTGCTTTCCTTGGCTTCTGCCTACCCTCTGCCAACTCCTTCTGGACTGACCAGGGCCCAGGCCAGGTCCTTTTCTGTCCTCTTGGCATCAGCAGCCAGGAAATTAAAAGGCGCATTGCCATGGGAAAGTCTGCTGTTAGGGACCTCTCCAAAGTGCTGAAGAGCAATGGTGTCTCTCTGGAGACTAAGGTGCATCTGATACAGGCCATGGTCTTCGCAATCACCTGTTATGCATCAGAGAGCTGGACAATGACCAAGGAGGATAGAAGGAGAATTGATGCCTTTGAGCTGTGGTGCTGGAGAAGAGTATTGAGAATGCCATGGACTGCTAGGAAAACAAACAGATTTGTCCTGGAAAGGGTTAAACCGGGTGGCTCCTTGGAGGCAAGGATTCTGAGGCTCCGTCTAACATACTTTGGACATGTTGTGAGGAGAGACCAGTCCTTAGGGACATTATGCTTGGGATGGTGGAGGGACGGCGCAGGAGAGGAAGGCCCTCTATGAGGTGGATTGATTCAGTGACTGGGGTAATCGGGATGGGAGTGTCAGAGACAGTGCGATTGGCACAGGACAGAGCGGAGTTTAGGGCTGTTGTACATAGGGTCGCTATGAGTCGCAGGCGACTCGACGACACATAACAACAACAACAACACCCCCAGGAAGCAGCTGCCAGCCTGCCTGGGCTCAGCCTTTGAGGTGCCCCCCCACCAGGGATGCTCCAGCTGGACCATGGCCTCCTCCCTTCCTCAGAGCACAGGGGAGAAGTAGGGACCCAGTTCCATGAGCACTCACTCACCTTCCTTGTCTGAACCCTCAGTCCTCCTAAAGAACCCATGTTCATTCCCTCTGTCATTGGCTCCACTTTGGGAAGGCATTCCACGTCAGTCCCCTCAGGGGCTTGGCTGGCCCCTGGTGTCCTAAGTGCCCTCTGGCAGAGCCTTGTCACGTCTACTGGAACCATCCCGTTGGGATTTGGGCCCACAAAGCCTGTGATGCTTTCCTGGATCCGAGAGATCCCGAGGTCCAATGAGGAGCAGAGGATGAAGGGTTCAGACTCCTGCCCTCTGCTCTGTACCAGGGGCTTGCTGCCTCTTTCTGCTCCCATCAGTTTTTCCTCCTTCCTTCCCTCCTCAAATGCTCTGCTCCACCAAGTGGCAGGGGCTGTGCTGTCAGAGGGAAGGGCCCACAGCCTTGAGGAAGGGAGCGTTGGTGGGGAGACAGATCTGCCAACACAGTGGCACTATGCAGTATTTGTCCTCTTGTGACGGAGATATTTCACTCAGCATAAAGTCCTTCAGAGTCATCCATTTTGTATTTCATGAGTTCCTTGTTTTTCAGTGCAGCGTAGTATTCTGTTATGTGAATATACCACAGCTTCTCTACCCATCCATTTGTTGATGGGCACTTAGGTTGTTTCCAATTCTTTGCTCTTGGGAACGAAGCAGCAATAAACATGGGTGTGCATATATCTGCTTGGGTGGCAGTTATGGTTTCTTTAGGGTATATTCCCAGTAATGGAATTGCTGGATCAAATGGTATTTCTATTTCCAACTTTTTGAGAAAGCACCACACCTCCTTCCACAGTGGTTGCACCATTTCACACTCCCACCAACAGTGAGTAAGGGTTCTAGTCTCTCCACAACTTTGCCAACGTTTGCTGTTTGCTGCTCTGATGAATTTTGCTACTCTTACTGGGGTGAGATGATATCTCATAGTTGTTTTGATTTGCATCTCTCTTAGAGTTCCTCAGTCATTTTCCAACTTCCAGATGTCTAGGAAGCATCTGAAAAAAACCATGGTTTGGATCAGGCACACTTTAGTCCTTAAATGAACATTGTTGCTCTCTAACACTTTGCTTTGAGAAGACAAACCCCACATCATGCAATTGGCACGGGGTCTGGTATGCAGCAAGAGCTGCGTAGGTGAAGCAGTGAAGACAGTAGACAGAAAGCTAAAGGCACAGAGGAGTGGAGGGTGTGGCCCGGGTTGGAAACTACATCAGGCTCGATGCTGGCAGTCAAGATTCCCTGTGCGGCCCCACACTGATAGGGGCCCCCTTCCGCTCCCCTTGGGAGAATGCAGAGCCAGCCGCGGTAGTCACGACCTCAGAGTGTCTGTTTCACTTCAGGGGAGAAATGAACCAGGACGTAGTGCTGTTCAAGGACCGAACTGAAGTCTCAGGTGAGGAGGATTCTTCGTCCGATGATGTGAGTGAGGAGGCGGCGAGGAACGCCATTCTCAACTCCATGATTCAGGGGATGGATTCGGACCCTTTTCTCATGCCTCTGTACTACAGAAGAAGGAATATGTCTCAGGTTCGGATCGACTGACTGGGGCTCGTCCTGCTCCGAAGGCAGCCCCTTTGTGGACAGCTGGGGTGTGTTATGTTCCAATAAAGGTGATGTGTTGGTCTTAAGATGACTTAAGGTTGAAACGGATTGTGTCCAGAGAACCCAGGGGCGCAGGCCTGCAGGAAGGGGCCAGACAGGCTCCCCCCACCCTGAGCTCCACCCTGAACCCTTGGAGACAAGCAGTGAGCTCTCTGAGAAGGGTCTGGGATGGGCACAGGGCTGACTGCACCCCAGGCAAAATCTACAAGAAAAAAAAATTAGCTTACAGAAAGTCGCAAAGAATACAACCAGGCAAGTCACTGAATGGGAACTCTCAAATGACTAATGCACGTCGGAAGAGATGCTCAAACTCATCAAGAAAGAGAAAAATGCAAATTAAAACAGTAAATCCTTTCTTAACTCTTTGCTAGTTGCCAGAGGTCTGGTGACAGGAGCTGAGTTCCATAAGGCTTTTCAATGGTTGTGTGTGTTTGTTTTATTTATTTAATATATCACCATGCTTTTCTTTGAAGGTGTCTTTGCGTGGATTTGAACTGCCAGCCTTTCAGTTAGCAGCTGAACGTTTGCACTACCTGAGACTCTGAAGAATGGCAAATGCCAATCTTTTAGGACACAGGGTAAAGGAATTCTGGAATGTTCTAGGTGACAGTCAACACAGCTGTTCTCCAGAGCAGTCAAGCACTCTTTGGAACAGTAAATTATGGGCACATACTATCAGCCCTGAGGGAGCTCTGGTGGCCCAGTGGCAAGAAGCTGCACTGCAATCTTGAAGGCATGGGAGAAAATGGGCAGTCCCTTCCCGTGTAATTAACTGCCTCTGAAAACCCTCCAGAGGGTCAGCTATGGGTCAGTCCTGACCCTTTGGTCAACATAACTATCAGTCCTAGAGAGCTCTGGTGGCCTACCAGTAAGGAGTTGTGCCGTCAACCCACAGTCAGGGAGTTTGAGTCCTCCAGCTGCTCCGTGGGAGTAAGATGGGCAGTCTCCTCCCTTGTGATTTACAGCCTCTGAAGATCTGCTGGAGGGTCATCTGTGAGCAGATTCTGACTCGGCAGCACGCAGCAGTATCGGTCCTACTCACACAGGCCCATGGGCTTCGGGTGAGGATGGTCCCTGCAGTGGCGTTTGCGTTAGTGCCCTGAGCTTGGGGAGCAAAACATGGGGCCTGTTCCCTGTCAGGTAAGAGGGAGCAGTCAGAATGTACAAACTGCTTTAGAGGTTCCCAAACGATCTCATTCTAGAGGCCCCTGGTGTTTCTGTGAGTTGCCGTCAAGTCAGCCTTCAATAAGATGCTGTCCTCAGTGAGGGTCATTCCCACGAGGAGCTGATGAGCCTGGGATCCACAGGCTTGTTGGGGGTTGGTTTTGCAGTGTCGCTTGCCAGGCTTGTCTTTCTAACCTGTCTAGCATCACACACACACACACACACACACACACACACACACACACGCTTTCCATTACCCAACATTCACGTCTGCACATGGGACGCACTGCTTAGAAATCCAACCTTGGTTTTCCTCTGAGAAGGTGAGAATGTGGCCACTGATCCCCTACTGCTCCTTACAAGGCTCTTAAGACAAAAACATTTAACTGTTCTGTTGACTAAGAGTTGGGACCACTACGTACACCCATGTTTATTGCTGCTTTGTTCACAATAACGAAGAGTTGGAAACAATCCATGTGCCCATCAACATACGAATGGGTAGAGAAGCTGTGGTATATTCACAGAATGGAATACTACACTGCATTGAAAAACAAAGAACTCATTAAATATTATACAAAAATGGGTGACCCTGGAGGACATTATGTTGAGTGAACTATCTCAGTCACAAAAGGACAAATACTGCATAATGCCACTGTTATATAACAGGACTGACATCGGTTTTGGGAGGAAACTAAGAAAGGAGGGGATATATGATTAGGTATTATTTGCATGGCAAGAATGTAGAATAAGAGCTGTATAGTAAAATGGACTGGGGGTGATTGTATAACAATGAAATAAATTTTTTTTCTTCTCAAAGAGAAAAGCGAACTAGGGGGAGGAGGAGTGGACAGGGTGGAAAATGTGCAATGATGAATGAATGGAAATTCAAGTTCTCAATAATCTTTTATTAAAATCTCAATTAAAAAAGTTAGGACCATCTGACTGAATACATGCTTACATCCTAACAACAATAAAAATAACACACGCAGGGTTGTACAATTTAGTGAGTGGAAGGAGGCGATAAAGTAAATGGTAAACATCCAGCTGGGACCTGAAAAGACAGGCATATAATGGGCATAGGCCAATGGTGATGAATTTTATAAAACATAATGCAAAACAACCATTAGATATCATCTCATCCCAGTAAGAACAGCAAAATTAACAGAACAGCAAACAACAAATACTGGCGAGGTTGTGGAGAAACTGGAACCCTCATTCACTGTTGGTGGAAGTGTAAAATGGTACAATCACTGAAAGACTATATGGCGCTTTCTAAAAAAGTTGGAAATAGAAATGCCATTTGAAAAAAAAACACGCATGGGAATGATTGTATGAAACACAATGTGAATGAAGAATAGTGTGAAACAAATGTGTACAAATCCTGTAAGCAAACCATTTGTTGTTGTTGTTATGTGCCGTCAAGTCACCTGCGACTCATAGCGACCCTATGTACAACAGCCCTAAACTCCGCTCTGTCCTGTGCCAATCGCACTGTCTCTGACACTCCCATCCCAATTATCCCAGTCACTGAATCAATCCACCTCATAGAGGGCCTTCCTCTCCTGCGCCGTCCCTCTACCCTCCCAAGCATGATGTCCTTCTCTAAGGACCGGTCTCTCCTCACAACATGTCCAAAGTATGTTAGATGGAGCCTCAGAATCCTTGCCTCCAAGGAGCCACCTGGTTTAACCCTTTCCAGGACAAATCTGTTTGTTTTCCTAGTAGTCCATGGTATTCTCAATACTCTTCTCCAGCACCACATCTCAAAGGATCAATTCTCCTTCTATCCTCCGTGGTCATTGTCCAACTCTCTGATGCATAACAAGTGATTGTGAAGACCATGGCCTGTATCAGACACACCTTAGTCTCCAGAGAGACACCATTGCTCTTCAGTACTTTGGAGAGGTCTCCAACAGCAGACTTTCCCATGGCAATGCGCCTTTTAATTTCCTGGCTGCTGGTGCCAAGACTGTTGACTATGGAGCCAAGCAAACTAAAGCTATGTACAATCTCAATCTCTTCACCATCCATCCTGATGCTGCCAATTGGTCCAGTCATGAGAATCTTTGTCTTCTTGACATTGAGCCTCAATCCATATTGTAGGCTGCAGTCCTTGACGCTCTGCAGCAGGTGCTTCAGGTCCTCTTCAGTTTCAGCAAGCAAACCAATATAAAAGAAAAATTAAAAATAAAAGGATAATAAAATTATTTTTTAATTATAAAAAAAAGATTGATAACACATGCAAAGTAACCAGCTGTTACTGGGTTGACCCTGACCCATGGTAGCCCCACATGTGTTAGAGAACTGTCCTCCATAGAGGGTTTAATGGCTGGTTTCCCAGAGGGAGATTGCCAGGCCTTTCTTCCAAGGCACCTGTGTGAACTTGAACTTCCAGCCTTTTGTTTACTATTACTGTTTACTACAGTCATCCCTTGCATCTCCCTGGGATTCCTAGTTAGAGTTGTTACTTGGTGCTGTCATGTTGGCTTCTGTCTCATAGCGACCTTAGGAAGAACAGAATAAAACACCTTGGGGCCCCTGTACTCTCACAGTCACCACTCTGCCTGGGCCCATTGTTAAGGTCATTTCCTCATTCTTTCACGCTGAGCCTTCCTCTTTCTCGCTGACCCTCGAGCTATAGTTTAGTGAAGACCTGGACAAAGGAAGAGAGCCTTACTGGGGACAGTGGACAGCCTGGCCATTGAAGAGACAGCCTTTCAGGGTAGGTTTGATCCGAGCTCCAGTCCAGTGTGGGGGCTTCCTGTATAGGTTTTGTGTGGACAGTCTTGTCTCCAGCTCAGCGTGAAGGTGGAAGGCTGACCTCAGGCCATAGGGACTCCATCCAGGGAGCACTGCCCAGGGGGTCCCAGGACATCATCTCTTGAATGCCCTTTTAAACACTAGGGGGTGAGCAGAGCAGAAGCAGCACCTCGTAACTTGGAAATGAGATCCCTGTCTTCATTTCTTGTCATTTGCTGCATTATTTATTATTGTTATTATTTTATTATTATTATTACTAGTGTGTGTACCACTAAATCATATCTGACTGGTACAGGAGGAAATTGCCCTTTCTTCTCCAGCAGAGCATCTGGTGGATTCAAACCGTGTACCTCTGGGATTGCTGCCTTCATTTCTTGATACTGAATGCTCAGTCACTTCATGTCGGCAAATGAGTTCCCAGACTTCCAGCCCTCCTCATGGCCACAGGGAAAGGATGGTTATAACAAAAGAAAGGGTACATCCTCAGTGTGGGGCAGGTACCACAGAACTTGTGAAAGAGCCAGCGACTTTGGCCTTCAGGAGACACGCTCTAACACCTCTGGCCTTCACACAGGCTGCTAGTTAACTCCATCCCTCACAACTATCGTAGTTAATGGTTAAATATGAAGGATTGGGACTCAGCCTTGCTGGATTTGACCTCAGCTCTGGCAATTACCTTTGGATCCCGGGCCTAAGTAATTAACTTTCCTTTGTTTAGGAGCCTGGGTGGTGTGAAGGATTAAATATTGGATTGCTGATGATAGAGAGGCCAGGTGTTCAAATCCACAAGCTGCTCAATAGGAGGAGGGGGCAGTCTGCTTCTAAAAAGACTACAGCCTTGGACACAGATACAAGCAATTTTGGAGATTTAATAGGGATGGGAAGAGAGAGAGGGGAGTCGAAATTAATAGATAAATTTATTACCAATTAATAAATTGGTGATGGGAATTACCAATAAGGGGTTGATTAGACATTATCAGAATCATATTAATCAATGATAGTATAATAGAAAAATTCTATAAATGATTATGAAAAATCAATATGGTTTGTAAACCTTCACTCAATTTTTTTGTAACAAAACAAGCAAGTTAATAGGCGGGGGTGGGGAGGGAAATCACTGTCTTGGCAACTATGGGCCATTTCCACTCTGTCCTGTGAAATGAAATCAACTTGATGGCAGTGGATTCAATTTGGTTTGTTTATGCCTCAGTTTATCTCTCATTCTGTGAAGTGGGAATGATCATATATGCGAAGTTCTAAATAAATCCATTCTGGAAGATTGTAGAACAGTGATTATTTTGAGAATTAATGGCCGTGAACAACCATGAGGAAACCTTTTAGCCACGAACATTTCAGTCTTAAACTCAGAAGTATGTGCATGAGGGTGAACACATATTAAAAAAATGGATAGAAGCCTTTCAGACTAATGCATTTTTAAGCTTTATTTTCTAGCTCAACTTTAAAAAAATGGTTTGGTTTGTTTTTTTCCTTTTAAAAAATTTATTATTAATTTCAGTGAAAGTTTACAGAGACTTTGGGTTTCTATCCACTCATTGTTGCACTTTTCTTCCTTTGCAACTCTTCCCCCCCAGTACACTCCCCTCTTGGAAAAGTAAAAGAAAAATTCTTTCATTGTTTTACAATCCCTCCTCCCCCCAGGTCCACTCCACTATGCAGCCTTCGCTCTGGACTCCTGTCATGATAAAAATACCTAATCACATATCCCTTTGAAACAATTTTCTCCCTTACCTGTTTCAATGCAGTATATACATTATTGAACTCATCTTTCTCAGTCTCCCCCCAACCCCGATGTCAGTCCTGTTTTGCAACAGTGGCACCATGCAGTATTTGTCCTTTTGTGATTGAGATACTTCACTCAGCATAATGTCCTCCAGAATCACCCATTTTGAATAATATTGCATGAGTTCCTTGTTTTTCAATGCAGCATAGTATTCCACTGTGTGAATATACCACAGCTTCTCTGTCCATTAGCTTGTTGACGGGCACCTGGGTTGTTTCCAACTCCTTGCTATTCATGGTTGTTGTAGTTGGGGGCTTATCGCTCTCCAGCTGAGCTGCTGCTGCTGGATTCGAACTGCTAGCGACACAACTCCCTAGCTCACAGACCATGGCGCCAGGGACCAGGCCAGGGCACAGCTGAAAGCGGCCGGAGCGGAGAGGAGATGCGAATGGGGAGGAGGAGGAGGTCACTGGCTGGGTGGGTCCAGGCGGGCGGTGGCCGCAGCGGGCAGAGTCCAGGGCACAGGCGGGCGGGGAGGCTGGCGCGCCCCGCGCCGCGTCACCGGCAGGGGGCGCTCGCGCGCAAG